CTTTTAGGACCGCTGGTATATTACTCTGCTGTAAGCCTCTATGTGAAAACTAAGATTCAGTTCAGCAAACTAAGATTCCCCCAATTAAGTGCTTAGAGGGCCCCAACTCTGTAAGAAAGCCTCCTGTCTAAAGTTAGCCAGCTCGATTTGCTCTGTGGGCTGGGAAACACACCACTCTCTCGTGCGCTGACTCTTGGTTCTGCTGATTCTTTTCTGCTAATCATCTGGTATCACAGCTCTGTCTTCTGGATTGGGGAGGTTCAATACTCAGGGATCTCAAGGTCTTGAGATCCACTCAGGATCTAGCTCCACTCCTTGCTCTACTTCCTTGATGATAGTGAGATCCTTGATCCCTGCTTCTGAGATGACTTATTTTATACCCATACTAGAGTTCCATATTTTTACAGTCAAATTAGCCTTGTTAGCAATCATTCCCAACTGAATCATCTAACCCCTCAGTATCTGGAAGTCCTAGTGTGATGTTGTAGGATAAGCACTGGACTACAAGGTTGATTTGAACTGCGAAGCCATCAGCCACTCCTCGAAAACACTATACAGGATCGCTGTGAGTGGAAACCAACTCGATAAACTTAACAACAATCTTCTCCCACCTTCTCTTATACAGACAAATCAGGAAAGAGTCATTTGGTGAAAGTTTACACAGACTGTGGCTACAAGAGACATTAAATAATTCAATGCACGGCATATGCTGTGGGGAATCAACCTGTGTAAGTCTGAGTTGAAACCCTAGTAGCAATACTGTTTTAGTTACTCTTGTACATATTTTACTTTCAAAATTCCCTGAGAAGTCTTACAAGAAATACAACTGTGTTTTAAAATCAGATAAAATTTTAAATATTCCCATAATTTTTATGACTATTGAACCCTTTTCTTTGCAGGATTTCACTCAGGAATGGTCCCATCAGACTAAATTTCTCCTTTCATTTCTCATAAAAGGAGCCCTAGTGACAAAGTTCATCACTCTGTCAGTTTGTCATACTGTGATGGCTTGCATGTTGCTGTGATGCTGGAAACTATATCACCGGTATTTTAAATACCCATGGTAGACAGGTTTTAGCTGAGATTCTAGACTAAGTCAGACTAGGAGGAAGGGTAGGCTGACTACATTTGAATGTTTAGACACTGAAAACCTTATGAACAGCATGGAAAACTGTCAGCACCAGAATATTGACTATTGAAACATGAAAAGCACCAGACTATTGTGAGACATACTGCTGGAAGATAAGCCCCTAAGGCTCTCAAAAAACAATTGGGGATGACCCGCCTACTTAAAGTAGAGTTAACCATGATTATGTGAATAGAAGAAAGATTTCAGGACCTTCATTTGCTGATTGGGAACAATTCAAAATGAATTGTTCATTTGTTCAAAACAGCTGCAAACATCCATTAAAAACCAGAACATGGAATGTACGAAGTATGAATCTAGCAAAATTGGAAGCTGTCAAAAATGAAATGGAACACATAATGGTGAGTATCCTAGGCATTAATTATTAAGCTGAAATGGGCTGGTATTGGCCATTGTGAATCTGACAATCATATAGTTAACTATGCCAGAAATGACAAATTGAAGAGTTATGGTGTCCCATTATCAAGAAGAACATTTCAAGATCTATCTGGAAGGATAATGCTGCCGGTCATAAGATAATAACCATGCGCCTTTGAGGAAGATCAGTTAATACCGCTATTATTCAGATTTATGCACCAACCACTAAACCCAGTGATAATTCAATTGAAGAATTCTACGAACTTCTTTCATCTGAAATTGATCAAATATACAACCAAGATGTATTGATCATTACTGGTGATTGGAATGCAAAGGTTGGAAACTAAGAGGAAGGAACAGGGGTTGGAAAATATGGCCTTGGTGATAGAAATGATGCCGAAAATTGCAAGATAGAAATTTGCAAGCACAATGATTTATTCATTGCAAATATCTTTTTTGAACAGCATTTAAAGATGATTATATACAAGGACCTCACCAGATGTAATACAGAAAAAACAAATTGACTAATTTGTGGGAAGAGATAGTAGAGAAGCTCCAAATTGTCAGTCAAAACAAGGCCATGGCAGACTGTGGAACAGATCATTAGTTGCTTATATACTAATTCAGGCTGAAGCTGAAAAAATTAAAGCAAATCCAGGAGAGTCAAAGTATGAACTTGAAAATAGCCCACCTGAATATAGATATCATACCAATAACAGATTTGATGTAATAGCCTCTAATGACCAAAGACCAGAAGAGTTGTGGGATGGCATCAAGAACATCAAACAGAAAGGATGCAAAAGATAAACAAGAAGACAATAAAGAAGGAAAAGGCCAAAATGGATGTCAGAAAAGACTCTGAAAGTTACTCTACAGTGTAGAGATGCTTAAGCAAATGGAAGATATTAGGAGGTAAAAGAGCTAAACAGAAAATTCTGAAGAGCAGCTCGAAAAGACAAAATCAAGTATTATAATGAAATGTGCAAAAACCTGGAGTGAGAACACCAAAGGAAGGAACATAATGAAAAAATTCAAGCCTACCCTTGAAATATTGAAGAATTCTATGGCAAAGTATTGAATAATTCAGACAACATCAAAAGCAGCTAAAAGGAATATACAGAGTCATTCTACCAAAAAGAAATGGTCTATGTTCAACCACTTCAAGAGGTAGCATATGACCAAGAGCCAATGGTACTAAAGAAAGAAGTTCTAGGTGTACTGATGGTATTCACAGAGAATAAGGCTCCAGGACATGATGGAATACAAATTCAAATATTTCAATAAACTGATGCAACACTGGAAGTACTCATCTGTGCCAAGAAATCTGGCCAACTTATTGGAAGAGATTCATATGTATGCCCATTCCAAAGAGAGGTGACCCAGTGGAATGTGGGAATCATTGCACAATAGCTTAATATCACATGCAACTAAAACGTTGCTAAAGATATTTCTAAAACAGCTGCAACAGCACGCAGGGCCAGGAAGTTTTTCGTTCCGTTTTACATAGGGTTGCTGTAAATCAGAACAACAGCAGTAGCACAGGGGGTTAAGCTTTGGTTTAGCCTCTTCATGGGAGAAAGATAAGGTGTCTGCTCCCATAAAGATTTAATCTTGAACACTGTAAGGAACAGTAGTACTCTATTGTATAGGGTCTATATGAGTTGGTTTTAATTTAATGACTTTTTTTGTTGTTATTGTTGTTTTAAGTGCCATTGAGTCAGCACTGACTCATAGAGACCTTATGCACAACAAAAGACTGCCTGGTCCTGGGCCAACCTCACAGTCCTTGCTACACTTGAATCCGTTGCTACTGCCACTGTGCCAATCTATCTCATTTGGGTCCTTCCTCTTTTTTGCTGACCCTCCAGTTTACCAAGCATGATGTGCTTCTCCAGGGACTAGTCCCTCTGATAATATGTCTGAAGTACGAGAGACAAATCTTGCCATCCTGGATTCCAGGGAGCATTCTGGCTGTACTTCTTCCAACACAGATTGGTTTGTTCTTTTGGCAATCCGTGGTACTTTTAATATTCTCCTCCAACACCATAACTCAAATGCATCAATTCTGCTACGGTCATCTTTAGTCACTGTCCAACTTTCACATGCATGTGAGGTTATAGAAAATACCATGCCTTGGGTCCGTCACACCTTAGTCTTCAAACTGACATATTGATGGTTTTTGTTGTTGTTAGGCGTCATCGAGTCAGTACCGACCCATAGCGACCTTATACGACCTTATGCACAGCAGAACGAAATACTGCCTGATCCTGGGCCAACCTCACTACTGTTGCCACACTTGAGTCCATCGATGCTGCCACTTGGCTAATCCATCTCGTTGGGGGTCTTAATGGCAGTGTGTATTTATTATGAAGGATCCCTGGTGGCACCGTGGCTAAAGTGCATGTGTGCTAACTGAAAGGTCAGCTGTTTGAACCCTTCCGTTGTTGTCTGGGAGGACGGCGTGGCAGCCTGCTTCCATACAGATGTCAGTCTTAGAAACCCTGTAACGCACTTCTGCTCCGTCCTTGGGAGTCACAACAAATCCGAATTGACACAGCAACAAGGGGCTTTGATTTTTTTGTGGTTAATCATTCCAAAAATGTTTTTGTCAAGTTTTTCGCCTTCCATTTTTTTCTTCCTTCTCTTGACCACTTTTCCAACACAAGTGGCTGCCAGAAAAGTTGGCAAATGATAGGATTCCTGGTGTGGCACTGTAGGATAAGCGTTGGACTGCTCACTGCATGGTCAGTGGCTTAAACCCACCAGTCACTCCTTAGAAACCCTATCCAGGGTCACGGTGTGTCAGAACTGATTCAACAGCACTTAACAACAACAAATCACACCAGTTACATCTGAATTTCAGACAAACAATAAATACTTTTGTAATGTAGGTATTCCCATAAACTGCATAGGACAATCTAATGTAAGTTGTTATTGTTGTTAAGTGCTTTCAAGTTGGTTCCAACTTATAGCGACCCTGTATAGGGTTTCTGAAGAGGGGCTGGAGAGCTTGAACTGTCAACCTTGCATTTCAAACCATCTTTGCAGTCCAGCGCATTAAACCACAGCGCCACATCAGGGCTCCACCAAATGTAAGTAGGTGTCCTGTGTTGTATCTGGCATGCCTAAATCCAAGGCTGTTGAGGATATACTTGCCTTCTTTCATCCATCGGTCACCTCAAATGCTTTATTAAGAAGAAACTTCAGGTCAGCAATAATCACACAGTATAGCAACGATTGTGAGGTGGGCACAGGACCGAGCAGTGTTTTATTCTGTTGTGCATAGGGTCACTATGAGTGATTCAGTGGCACCTAACAACAACAATACACAGTAATGCCTGCAAAAGCACTAGTTGTGACAGATTCCTTCTATAGAAAGCAAACTATTCATATTCATAATAGATAGCATTTTACCTTTTCTATTAAAAATGGATATTGTAATGTCTGCCTTGAGCATTATGCTCTTTTTTTTTTTATTATTGAAAAAATTTATATTTAGAATTAGCTAGCTGAACTCCGTTTAGATGATCCCAATTTTGTTGGCAACATCCAAAGCATCATAGTCAGGAGCCAGTCGAACATATGCCTTCTTTTCTCCATCGGGCCTGATTAAGGTGTTGCCCTTGGCTACGTCAATGTCATAGAGCTTCTTCACAGCCTGTTTGATCTGGTGCTTGTTGGCCTTGACATCCACAATGAACACAAGTGTATTATTATCTTCAATCTTCTTCACGGCTGACTCAATAGTCAGAGGGAACTTGATGATGGCATAGTGGTCAAGCTTGTTTCTCCTGGGGTCGCTCTTCCGAGGATATTTGGGCTGCCTCCGGAGCCTCAGAGTCTTGGGCCGCCGGAAGGTGGATGACGTGTGGATTTTCTTTTTTTTGTGGCTGTGGACGCCTTTCAGCACTGCCTTCTTGGCCTTCAACGCCTTTGCTTTGGCTTCAGCTTTGGGAGGGGCAGGGGCTTCCTTCTTCGCCTTCGGCGCCATCTTCGTAAAAAGGCACATTATGCTCTTTTAAGAAGTATTTTCTGGTTGTTGTTAGGTGCCGTTGAGTCACCTCTGACTCGTAGTGACCTTGTACACAACAGAATCAAACACTAGCTGGTCCTCTGACAGCCTCACAATCATTACATTAGAACCCATTTCTGATGCCACTGTGCCAACCCATCTCATTTGGGGACTTCCTCTTGTTCTTTTACATTACATAAAATGTTATGTTAAGAATACTTGAACTACAGAAAAACTCTAGGCATTTCTGCAAGATAAGAATGACTTTGTTCCCATTTTAAGGTTTTTTAAACAGGATTGATTAAAAACTAAAGTGACTATTAAAAATAATGATAACAAATAAATGGTTAAAAAAGAGGCACTGTTATGAGTGAGGTATTAAAAATTGCTTTGAAAAGTCCCTAAAATACTGACTTCTGCTTAACGTGAATCTCATTTGGTGGTTGGTTAGTGGTTGTGTACCATAGAGTCAGTTCCAACTCACAGTGACCCTGTGTAGGTTGCCAAGGCTGTAAATCTTTAAGCAAGCAGAAAGCCTCTGCTCTGATGTAATTACCCTATGTATTATAAATCTTTCTTTTACGAGGTTAATTATGCCGGATACAATCTAAAGAATGAGGTTATATTTGAGTTAATCTCCTTTGAAATGTAAAAAGAGAAATAAGTGAGCAGAGAGAGAGGAACCTACTTAACACCAAGATAGAAGAGCCACGAGAGGAGTGCATCCTTTAACCTGGAGTCCCTTCACTGTGACGCTCCTAGATCAAGGGAAAGTCTGGTACCAAGATACATGGAGATCTCCAAGGAACACTGGACCTACACTTACTGAAAGGAGACAAGGACCTTTCCCCAGTGCTGACAAAGAGAAAGCCTTCCCCCAGAGCCAGCACTCTGTATTTGGAATTCTAGCCTCCTAAACCGAGAGAGAATAAATATCTGGTTGCTAAAACCATCCACTTGTGATATTTCTGCTATAGCAGCATTAGATAAATAAGAATTTGGTACTTGGTGTAGACACTGCTCTTACAGATATCTAAAATGTGAAAGCGGTTTGGGAATTGGATAATAAGCAGAGGCTAGAAGAGTACTAAACTGCCTAATAGTAAAAACCTCAATCGCCTACAAGAGGCTGTGGGAATTATGGATGTCAAAGGCAATTGTGATGAGAGATCTGAAGCAACTGAAAACTGTAACACTGGAGATGACACAGATGGTGAGAAGCAGTTTCAGAAGCAGGAGCCCAACACAAGATGACACAGAACCTGACCCAAGGAACAAGAGAGACAAATGCCTTCCTGTAGGTAATTTCCTGAGTGAGTGGGGTGCCTCTGGGTACTGGTCAGTGAAATCAGGCTCTCTGACCCATGGAGGGAGAAAGCGGAGTATCTCTAGCCAAGGCTTACTGGTGGAGTGGGGTGACTCTGGACACTTATTAGTAGAGCTCAAGAAGAGAAGAAACAAGAGTGACCTCTTCTAGAGATCAAGGAGTATGGGCAGCAGACGTGCCTCAACCTCAATAGGTGGAACCATGACATCTGAGGACACAAACAGTAGAACCATGACTTCTGGGCTTCAAAGGGGGTCACAGTTTCTTCAATTTCTAAGAGTCTTCATCAACTTGGTTCTATAACAAGGTTACCATTAAGATAGGGCCCTAGCCCCAAAGTGAGAGGGCTCCTTATGCCTAAGGAGGTAGAAGAACAGGGCCTGCTGGGGTCAAGAGAGTGGCCACTCAGATTGACTAAGAGAACAGGCTGTCCAAAGTCAAGGGAGCAGAGTTTGTGATTCCAGTGGGTCTGGAAAACAGAGTTGAAGCCCAAGGTTGAGGGGCCCAACCCAGAATCCAAAGTGCATCTTTCAAACCCAAAGTCTGCAGGGCAGGGCCATTGCTTAGATTATTTCAGAGGAAGGATTATTCTCAGACTTTGAGAGTTGATGTATATTATTCTGTTGTATACTTAACTTGGTACCTGTTATTCCTTCTTTCCCTCCAATTGCTCCCATTTCTAATGGAAATGGTCTATGGTTACACCCCCCTGAATGTGCCCAATCGTCTGATCTCGGAAGCTAAGCAGGGTCAGGCCTGGTTAGTACTTGAGGAATCCTGGTGTGGCATTATAAAATGAGCACTGGATTGCTAACCACTAACCACAAGGTCAGAGTTTCAAGCCCACCAGTCGCTCCTTGGAAATGATGTATAGGGTCTCTATGGGTTGGAGCCGATTAACAGCATGTAACAACAACAACATAATGGAAATGTGTCCATTTTTCCCATTCCATCATTGTATTGGAAGTAAAACTCACTTGTCCTAGGTGGAATTTGGACTTGGAAGAATTGGAGGATAATATAACCTGCCAGCTGCTTCTCAGAAACTCTAGACAAGGTTGCTATGAGTCAGAACTGACTCGATGGCACTTAACAACAGCAACAACAATAATGTGGTTAGTGCATTTCTGGATTGAAAGTAAAATCTTTCTGGATCTCTATATGTCGGAAGTGACTAGACAGCACTTACCAACTTTAAGATACCACACACATCTGTCAGTTTGTCCTTCTGTTATAGTTTGCATGTTGCTGTGATGCTGGAAGCTATGACACTGGTGTTTCAAATACCAGCAGAGTCACCCATGTTCAACAAGTTTCAGGGGAGCTTTGCATAGTAAGGACTGAGCAGAAAGAAGGAACAGGAAGTAACTGAAAACCTTGTATAAGTAGCAGCAAAACAATCTCTGATATAGTGCTGAGTGATGAGCCCCTCAGGCTGGGTGGCACACCAAATATGACTGAAGAAGAGCTGTCTATTTTTCTATATATATTTTATTGTGATTTATGTGATAGTTTACATGGGAGAACATTAGCTTTACATTCATTCTATCATGTATCGTTTCATTGCCATGGTTACAATCCCCTCCGTGTATCATCAGCGAACCAAAGGGTATACCCTGCAAGCCTGCCCCCCGGTCGTCAGCACACAGACCCTCTCCCTCTCTGGGTCTAGAGTCCCCAGCCGCTCCATCTCTCCACGTCATTGTCTCTGACTCCATCTCTGGCATCACTGCTTCTCTGGGTAGGATTCCGCATTCCGCTCTTCTCCCTTGATGGTCCTGGACTGCAAAGTCAACCAGAAGAGATATCTCTTAAAAGTAGAGTTGGCCTTAATGATATGGATGGAGTGTGGCTAAAAATGAGAAGAAACAGTTGCAAAATCAACACACATTAATAATCAGAACATGGGATGTATGAAATATGAATCTAGAAAAACTGAAAGTCATCAAAAACTCTATGGAATACATAAAGATCCATATGCTAGGCATTGGCTGAAATGGACAGGTACTGCCCATTTTTAATTGGACAGTCATGTGGTTTACTGTGCTGGGAATGACAAATTCAAGAGGAATGGCTTCATATTCATAGTCAAAAATAGTATTTTAAAAAACATACTGAAATACAGCATAAACAGTGATTATATACCTAGACTTCGCCAGATAGGATGCACAGGAATCAAGTTGATTATATCTGTGAGAAAAGACAGTGTAACAACTCAGAATCATCAACCCGAACAAGGCCTGGAGCTGACTGTAGAACAGACCATCAATTGCTCAAAGCCAAGTTCATGCTGAAATTGAAGAAAATTAAAACAAGCCTACAGGTGCCAAAATATGCCCTTGAGTATATCCCACATGAATTTAGGGATCATCTCCAGAATAGATTTGATGAACTGAACATTAATGACTGAAGACCAGAAGAGTTGTGTGATGACATCAAAAACATCATACATGAAGAAAAAAAAAGGTCATTAAAAAGACCAAAGTGGGTATCAAAAGAGACTCTGAAACTTGATATGGAAGGTAGAGTAGCTAAAGCAGCTAGAAGAAAGGAGGAAGAAATAGAACTGAACAGAAAATGTCTAAGAAGGCAAAGTATTGTAATGAAATCTGCAAAGAGCTGAAGTTAGAATAGCAAAAGGGAAGAACAAACTCAAAGTTTCTCAAACTGAAAGAATTGAAGAAAAAAATTCAAGCTTCGAGTTGTAATACTGAAGGAGTCTATGAGCAAAATATTGAATGATGTAAGAAACATTCAAAGAAGATGGAAGTAATACAGAGTCACTGTACCAAAAAGAATTGATTGATGTCCTACCATTTCACAAAGTAAAATATGATCAAGAACCAATGGTACTGAAGGAAGAATTCCAAGCTACGCTAAAGACATTATAGAAATGCAAGGCTCCAGGACTTGACAGAATATCACCTGAAATGTTTCAGCAAACTAACGCAGCACTGGAAGTACTCTTTAGTCTAAGCCACGAAATTTAGAATACAGCTACCTGACCAACTGACTGAAAGAGAGTCTTATTTGTATTCATTCCAAACAAAGATAACCCAACAAAATGCAGAAACAACCAAACAGTGTTGTTAATATCACACACAAGTAAAATTTTGCTGAAGATAACTCAAAAATGGTTATAGCAGCACTTTGACAAGGAGCTGCCAGAAACTTAAGCTGAATTCAAAAGATGTGGAATCAGGAATATCATTGCTGATGTCAGATGGAACTTGGTTGAAAGCAGAAAATACCAGAAAGATGTTTACTTGTGTTCTACTGACTATACTAAGTCATCCGACTCTGTAGATTATAACAAACTATTGATAACATTACAAAGAATGGAAACTCCAGAACACTTATTTGTGTTCATGAGAATTTGCACATAGAACAAAGGGCAGTCTTTAGAATGGAACAAGGGGGTATTGTGTGGTTTAAAATCAAGAAAGGTGTACGTCAGAGTTGTATCCTTTCACCACATTTACTCAATCTGTACACTGAGCAAATTATTCGAGAATGTGGACTGTATGAAGAAGAATGCAGTCATCAGGATTGGAGAAAGGCTCATTAACAACCTTCATTATGCAAATGACACAACCTAGCTTGCTGAAAGCAAAGAAAATTTAAGCACCTGCTGATGAAAAAAAATTTTAAAAATACAGC